TCCCTCCATTAACACGGATGTCAGCACAGTCACAAGCCACACATTTGCTGGAGGTCTACTCTCCTGGTAGGTAGGGAAGAGGACATAGAAAAGAGGGGAAGGAAAGAGGCATACACATGCATGTGACTCCACTGTCACTGACTCTGTATCAAGCTCAGTTTCCACTGATGACAAACAAAATACTGTCTGAATACAAATCGGGAAAAATTAAGTAGTGAGATGATTATCCCAAGGTGCATCTAGGACTGCTTAATGAAAATGGTATTTGATATGAATTGAAGAGATTTGTGTGCCAACAAATTGGAGACAGATAAAACAGGAAAGGGCAAGAGTGAGGGAGAAAAGGAGAAAAGAATGAGAAAGGCATTGGGAAGAAAGTATTAGAAATGAAAACAAAGAAAAAGATTACGGATGTGAAATGTGCACAAATGATGGAAGTAGTGCGTGTGATGTCATTGAATAGAAACATTCATAGGAAGGCTGTGATTCACATTTGTTGTGAAGTTCAAATTGGAGCCAGATACTAACTTCCCAGAGGCAAACAGATCCCAGAAAAATGGTTGTTCAATCTGGCTGGAATATCACTATTTCTGTTTGACTCCTTTTGTTTTCCTTTCCTTATTTTATTTATTTCTAAAAATATTTTTATGTCTTATAGAATAAAGTAGTAATTATCTATGTTGGAAGTGAAATATTTTCCTGGCATTCTGCTTTAGCATATTTTAATCTGATTATAATAAATAAATGCTTTATGAAAATGGGAATTTTTTATTATTTTATGTGTATGAGTGTATTGCCTCCCATGTATGGAAGTGCACTCCTGTCGTGCAATGCCCACAGAGGTCAGAAGAGGGTGAAGGATCCCTGGAACTAGAACTACAGATGACTGTATGCTGCCCTCTAAGTGTTGGGAATCAAACCTGGGTCCTCTCCAAGAGTACCCATTGCTCTCAATTGCTGAGCCATCGCTCCAGCCTGCAGTTTTTTCCTTGTTAAAAAAAAAAGCTATTTTCAATTAAGATTTCTAACTAGATTCCAAATTTGGAAAAACATATCTAGTAGAAAGCAAATGGCAAGAATCATAATTAAAAGGCAGCTACCTCTTGTCTTTCTGAGGATGAAACACAGTTTGGGGAATTATTTTTTTATTTTCTTCTTCTTTTTAAATAGTAATTAAAATTGAAAGATGTCAAATTCATCTAGAAAGCCCATGCACTGTTTTACATGTATGCTAACACTCTTCGTATACGTATAAATTAACTCTAATTCTCAAAGTCCTTGAGACTTTTATTGTTGTAAGTAAAAAACTCCAGAGATTATACAAGATGAAGCATTTTTTAAAACACTAAATCATTCATTACCCTTATCCATTTCCTCTTTAAGAGGTTTATTTTCTATGTTCCTAGAGCCTTAGGTGTAGAAATTGCACTATAGATGTGTCACTTAGGGCTGAGCATCTCATAGACATTATTCTCTGCATGTGACCAGTCCTAGAACTCTGCAATAGTTTCTGTTACAGAAAAACCTCTTTGATGAATGATGAGAGGTATACTTGTCTGTAAATATAAGGATGTATATTTAACATACAGTAAGAAATCACTTTTGTCTAATGATATGACAGACACATCTTTTTTCTCTAGGATAATGATGTGACAGACACATCTTTTTTCTTTAGGATGTATGACCTCTCTAGCCTAGTGTATTTGGCTATGTTTATAGTACCACACATGAGTTCCCTCCCATTGAGCAGGTCTTAAGCCCAATTAGGCTGCTGTTGATTACTCAAAAGATACAAGTGCCACTATTGCACAAATAGTGATACTTTGCTAGGCCAGAAGTTGTTTGTTAGGCTTTACAGCTAGGTAGAACCATTGATTTGTTTTCTCACTTACAGATTGAATAGTATCCTCTTAAACTATGAGAGCTAGTCTTCAGGGAGGAGGCTTCCAGGTCAGTTTCAACTCCAATGCTCCAAGTCCAGTGTATGAAGTATATCCTGTCTTCTGCAATATGATCTTACTTTCCTAGTCTTGAAGACAATCAAGAGCTATGACAATATCCTGTGTTGTTTGGGGGAGTCTTTTGGACTACCTTGACCAATAACTTAAAGGGAAGTTTCTCCTGTCAGGTACCATGTTTCTTGTTATATACACTTCAGTTATACACATGCACATGCGCGTGCACGCACACGCACACACACATACACAGGATGGTATGTGATTTTTTTCCATAGGTTTTTGAACTATTATATTTTGTTCTGTTTTATAATACTACCAAAACATTACTCACCTCTCTCTTCTCCTGTATAACCTTCCCTCCTCCCTCCCCAGTTAATGTATCTTCATTTTCTCCATTTTCCCTTGATAACACCTGTCTCCTATTTATTCACCTTCCTCATGCTCTGTCTTCCCCCTTACTCTCATGGTTATTTATATAACCCTTCATTTTCTCAGCTCTCACTACTGAAACTTCATACAAAAGATGCTGATTAACATAGAAAGACACAACTGGCTAAAATGTAGAGAATAAGAGTCTGCAGAGTGAATGTCCTTGGCTAGGACTCCTGTATTAAACTTCTGCCACCCGGGGCTCAGGGACCATTATGAAAGAGGGGTTAGAAGTACTGTAAGAGCCAGGAGTGGTGGATAACCACAAGGAAACAGAATTTTCCAGGCAGCTAGGAAATTGCTTATATGAACTTACAGCAATAGTGTCAAAATTCACAAGACCCATGCAAATTCAAAGGAGACAAAAACTGAGCAAACAACTGGGGAAATGGGTAAGAAGCCCCAACTTTAGTTGAGGAACTATTGGCAACTGATCACTGATGGGTGAGAGAGAGTTGGTCTTTTTTAAGGGAGTAATGTGAAATAGGCTGACTAGGCTCCACAGGATGAACTCATACAGAGAAACATCTGGGGACACAAAGTTGACTCAACACGGCTTAATGTATATGACAGAACACATGAAATCTGGTGGGAGGGGACCTATGGGGAGTGCAGATAGGGGAGGGATTCTAAATATGATCAACATTTATTATATGAAATGCACAAAAACTTCAAAAAAAATTTAAAAGCAACACATGGTATATCAAGCAGCTCTTAGTTGATGACTTCTGCAATGTCCCTGCTTCTGCTCTGCCTTCCGAAGAACTGGGTTCTCTCATCTTTTCTTAAACCTGTTTGCCCATATTGTTCAAATAAAGTAGCATTTCTCATAGAAAAGAGATTTGTTTTATTGCGGGAGAGGAGAGCTTAAATTATGAGAAACTTGAAAATCAAGAACAAGCATTTTTGATGGAAAGAAATGAGTCAGATTAGTTGAGATGTAAACAGTATTTTTGTGGTTTTCCTGTGTTGATTTGACTTTTTTAAAAGCTAATTTTGTTAATGCTGATATTAAAAATTATTTGCTAGGCTCTTATTCTAGAGCTTCATATTGGCATTGAAAGCTGTATCTTCACTTTCAAATATAATGAGTATTTGAAACAATTAGGCATGTGATACATTGGTCAAGAAAAATCCTATGCTGGAAAAAGTTAAACCATTGAGACAAATATGTTTTTTTCCTTGGCTTGAATTAGCTGGGTCCTAGGGAACTTCGTAAAGTTTAATGTGCATAGGCATGAAATAGGTCACATTACCTAAAAGCAGGTCAGTCTCAGGAATAAAAGCAATATCTTAAAATGGATATTTCCAAGACAATTTTTGAAACAATTCACACTACACTCCCAAAAATAGCTTTGGGAAATAGTGAGATAAATAAAGGCACACAAACTAAATGCAGTTACAGAAGTTCATGTATCTTTGTTGGGTTTGCTTCTGTTCTTTACTGCACAGCATCTCAGAATCTATAATGCTGACTTGTGCTTAAAGTTCTTGAGAATTTTACAGTCCAGAAATTTTCAAACTTTCTTGACCTCAAACCATGCTATCCAGAGCAATTCAGGGAAGTAGTGTTCAAAGGAATGAACACATTGACCACTTCCCTGCACAGAATGATTATTTATGCTGTACTTCCCCAGGAGATGAAATGCAAAGTTTGGGTGAAATGGACAGATCTGAAACTACCTGCATTCAGGAGCTCAAGAGAGCAAACACATGATGCATAACACAGAGAAACCACAGGTTGAACTTGACAGGCAGAACTAGTCTCAAGATACCTTATGATAGACAGTAAGCCTGTCAGGTCAGGCCAGTCCTCACTTTCATCACAAACTTGTCTTATGTCTGTCTTTACCTTTGTGATGGTGCTGATATCACATTGTCCTTCCTTTTCCTTCTTTTTCCTTCCTTCCTTCCCTCCCCCCTCCCTGCCCACTTCCCTCCCTCCCTTCATTCCATCCCTCCCTCCCTCCCTCCCTCCCTTCCTTCCTCCCTTTTTTCTTTCTTCCTTCATTTTTGTTCTTCCTCCTCCTCCTCTTCCTTTTCCTTCTATTTTATATTCAGTGTTTTTCTCAATTTGACTGGATACCTTTATTCTCACACTTCAGGACTTACTTTAAAACTCATCTTCTAGAAAAAAAATTTATACCGTTTACTCAACTACACTAGACTCTTATCTCTCACAATATACCATAACATGAGGGGGAAACCCTGCAATTTTCCTCGAAAGCAGTTATCAAAGCTTTTTCTCATATGCTGATGTTTGCTTATGTCAAGTTTCCTCCACTGGAGGCAAGAGGGCATGGCTATGTTGTATAATCACATAAGATGACTTCATAGAGCTCTATGACAGGTGATAATAATTTGCTAATTATTTCACATTTTGGTCAAGACCTCACCTACCCAAAACCCTAAAATTATTACTTAAACATATGCACAGAAACTAATTCCTCTCCAGGGTATGGTTAATTACATTTTAGTATGCATTAATACCTCTTCTAGGGCACCAAACTGTCATCAGCACAAAATATATTATCAATAAAGAGACTATAAGCTTGAATTTGTAATCAGTGCAAATGATTATCATGTACTGATTATGGGAAATGATTCCTGTACCTGGTTTATGCTGTATTTCTCAACAGCTCCGCTCTTTGTTCTTTTTCTGTTTTCAGGGATCTGCAGAGGACAAAAGATTAAGGGATTAGGATTTTGTGTTCCAAAAAAATGAAGTACTCATGAAAACACACCTTCTAGTATGTGTATAATGTACATCATTACAAACTTGGGGGAATGATCAACACAGCATCCGTAGAACACAGCTCTCATTTATTCCAAGTGACTTTATCCCTGAAGCTCACACAGCTTCACTAAAATTATAATTGACCCTTATGTCCTACACTCCATTAGTCATTGCCAGACACTGTCCTAAGTTGCATAGATTAATGCATTCATTTCTCATAACCACAGGGCAACACGAGGTTAACTCAGTAAGTCTCCATTACGAAAATCCCACACATTCCAAAACAGCCTATCTTCAGTACTGGCATTTGATGGGCTGCTGCAAGATGAACTCTGAATTCTTGATAAATGTGCTTTTTGTGACACCTATGCTGATCCAGGTGGCCAGGTAAGTTTATTCTAAAATATGACTTAGAATGAATACCAATACCTGTCATCATTGAGGGAAAGAGACATGGGAATTGAAACAGCTGAGATCAGTCATTTCACAGAAATAGACCCATTTAACTAACCTCATCTAGGACTTTGGAGTTCAGAGTCTGACTTAGCTAACATGGTTTACCACACTTCACCCATGGTACATGCTTTTGCTGAGAGCTCTAGGCATGTTCCTATGTGACTCCACTGAAAGGAGACACCTTGAAATCTGTTCCTGTTATGGCTTCATGAACCTTGTCTCTTTACAAATCAATCTGTATTCTCCCACTGTAGTAAAGCATGAATAAGATTATTTAGTTTTTCTGAGTCTCAGAAGATCTTCTAGTCCCTGCCTGAAGGACATAACCACTCCATGATTTACGAATCACTATTAATACCCACAAGTTTAGGTAGAGAATTGCGTGAACAGAGGTCAGGTGGCTCAGAGTCCCACAGTTTGTTGGAATAAGCACAACATTCTTGATCAAAATTTTTGACATTTATTTTATCACTATGTCATGTTTTTCAGTTATAGCATTTGTTTAATAAACCATGCAATAAATGTATTTTAAAATGCCACCTGACCCATTCCCTGTATTTATAATAATGATAAATTTTAAATTTTGTCATCAATTACAAAGATTTCACTTTATCTATCAAAAGGAAAAAATAATTAACATGTGCCAAGACCTTGGATTTGATCCATAGAATTGAAAAAAGTACTTTATTGGGTTATATTTATTCCTTAACTATGATACTGTTTTCAAAACAAATTTCCTCTGATTGTGACAACAATGCAGAAAAACATATGATTTTTCTCTTCCACATAATCATCCTTCTCCATTCTACAGTCAGCCCTTGATATTCCTGGGATATTGGCTTCCAGGACTCTTCATGGGTACCAGAATTTGTAGATATTCTGGTTTCTTATGTGAAGTGGTGAGGTGTTTGCATACGATACGCAAAGCCTAGCTGTACCTAGAGTCATATATAGGTAATTTATGATTCCTAATGCAGCGCACATGCTGTGGAAAAAGTGATGCTATCTTGCTTAGAGACTGAAAACAAGGAAGAAAGTCTGTGTTCATTCAGTATATATGCAATGTAAAAAATTAAATGCACAACTATCTGAATGCCAGGATGTAGAGTCCATTGATACAGAGGACCAGTGTCATATAAAGATTTATATGCAGAGATTAAACTAAAATTAGTAAATTTTAAGTCAAATCAGCCAAATTTAAGGAAAGAAAATACTTTACCTCAAATTTTCTTAAAGTTTCTTATTAAATAGTGTGTTTTTATATAGCGTTGCTTTGACAATATATGCTAGAAAAGTTTCAGAAAAGGAAAATTGTGGTGTTAGTCAAATAGTCATAATTAAAGAAAATACATACCATCAATTGATACAAAACAATAAATAATATACCAGCTACATAAAAATGTCATATACTTGTTAAGCTTTTATTCAGGACATTACCAAATATATTTTAGTCTATTTAGGTATGGATATTATGTATCTGAGATAGTTGCTTTATCCTAACACTTGAACAAAATCACAAGTTTCTATCTTTTTAAAATCTACCCAATCACTATGGAAATCAATATAGAAAACTCTTTAAAAACTAAAAATAAACGTATGATATGACCTGGTTATACCATTTCTTGGCATATACCCAGTGAACTCATCCCACTATGAAGATCCTTGCAAAGCCGTGGTTGCTGCTCTTTTCACAATAGCTGAGAATTGGAAAGAAACTAAATGTCTGTCACTGATGAATGAAAAATGAAAATATGATACATTTACACAATGAAGTTCTACTCAGCAGTAAAGAAAAATGAAATCACGAAAATTTTCACATAAATGGATGGAACTAGAAACTTTTATTAAGTGGAGTAGTAACACAGACTCATACAAACACATGACATATGTTCTCTCTCTTTTGTGATTCTTAGATCCAAATTTCTAGATGTGAGTATACATCCTGATGTAACCACAAGAGCCAAGAAAAGGGAAAGGAACCATGAGGATACGGGGAAGAATGAGCTCAAGAGAAGGGACAGTAGAAGAAAGGTGTTTCTCAGTGGGGAATGGGAAGGGGGGGACTTTAACTGGGTAGGGAGTAGCAAGGGTTATACAGGGGGAGTAAGAAGAGGAATAAATAATACTTAGATTGTATGAAAACCAGAGGAAAATGTATTAGTTCAAAGTCCTACTGAAAACAAACATACAATAAATAATAGAGTGCATGTGTACAGCTAAAGGCTATATAACATAAAACACAGTGCTGGACAAGAGAAATCGCCCTTCAAGTTGCTGATCAGGGTCATCCAAGAGACCCCCAAAGTAACACAGGCTATTGCTACAGCTCTTGATTGCTTCCCAGAACTTTAAATTAAGACCCTATTGTTGAAGACAGGCCACACTTTGGGCACAGGACTTAGAAAATGGAGCTTTACTTGACTTGAAAGCCTCCTCTCTGAAGAGTAGCCCTCATGGTATCGGAGGATATTATAGAAGTTGTCAAGGGAGAAAAACCAATCAATGATCCTACCCAGCTGTAAAGACTAATAAACAACGATGACTGTCCCAGCTTACTATTGCTATTGGTGCAGTAGTGGAACTTTTATTTTGTGGGTAATCAACAACTGCCTAATTGGGAGTAAACTTATGTGTGGTACTGTAAACATAGCCAAATACACATGACTGGAGAGGTCAAAGATCCTAGAGAAAAAACTATTTTTTGCCACATCCCTAGACAAATGCACTTTCTTACTTTGTTCTAAATATGTATCCTCATATTTACAGACACCCCTCATGAAAGAAGTTTCTTTTTGCAACAGATGGAGACTATTACAGAGTTTCAGAACTTGTCAAATGCAGAGAATAAGTGTCTATGTGATGCTTAACCCTAAGTGACATATCTATAATGCAACTTTTACACATAGGAGAAATGGATCTCTCAAATCTTACCAGAGAAGTTTCCTTGTGCATACAGCAGATGGTGATTAACAGAGAAACCCATAATTTTCTAAAGTGTACAGGACAAGTGGCCACAGAGTGTTTATTCTTGATTAGGACACCCATTTCAAACCTCTGCCTCCCAAGGCTCAGGGATTATTGCAGGAGGCCAAAAAGATTGTAAGACCATAGGTGGTAGATGACCACAAGGAAACAGTCTTCTAGACAGCTGGTTTGTTATTCATATGAAGTCACAGCAATGGTGACAGAATGCACAATCCTATGCAAGTTCAATCTAGACAAATTCCCAACATAGAAATGAGGAAGCAGGTAAGAAATCTCAACCCAATATAAAGAACATTTGGCATTGATGGCATTGAGAACATTTGGCTGTTGGGAGAGGGAGAGAGAGTGAGTTACAAGGATAGAACTCCCATGGGCCCAGTGGACGAAGCTACACTAAAGCACATTTGGGAACACAAATCAGACTAGTCCATGTCATATGTATAAGAGAGTAAATTATTTTGCTCCAGGGGCAGTGGGTAGAGGTGTGAATAGATGAGGGCATCTAAATACTATCAAACTATATTGTATGAAAATCATAGACATTCAATAAAACTAAAATAAGTCTACCCAAAGCTTCACATTGAACATCCTTGTACATGCTGCACCTAGAAGTTTCTAATCCTTTTCATCAATACAAAATTAATACCATTACATCCACAGATGTGATGAGTCTACTTTAAGATTATAGTATGGCTCTTGTGCTGGATAGCTTTAGTGTCAACTTGACACGCCTGGGTTGAGGGAGCCTCAACTGGGGGATTTCCTTTATTGGACTGGCCTGTGGCCATGTCCATGGGGCACCTTCTTGATTGTTGAGTGCTGTGGGAGGGCCCAACCAACTGTAGGTGGTGCCACCTCTGGGCAGGTGGGCCTATGTCACTTAAGAAAGTAGGCTGATCAGGGGCCAGGGGAGCCAGCCAGTGAGCAGCCTTCCTCCATGGCCTGTGCTCCAGCTCCTGCCTCCAGGTTCCTGCCCTGAGTTCCTACCTTGGGCTCCCTGATGAACTGTGACCTGGGAGATATAAGCTGAATAAACCCTTTCCTCCCCAAGTTGGTAGTGGTCAGAGTATTTTGTCACAGCAATGAAGAAACAAAGCAGGGCAGCTCTTCAGTGGTAAAAATATTCTCATGCAGTCTGTAGAAATTGGTACCAGAGAGTGGGATATTGCTGTGACAGACCTGACTTGGTGTTTTTGCGAGGACTGTGGAAACATTCAGAACTTTGGGCTGGAAAAGCCATTGTGTGCTTAGAGTTTGTTGCTGTGGAGCTTGGAACAGTTATATTGAAAGAGTTGTGGATGATGGAGGTCTGGCTTGTGATGTTTCAAAGGGAAGCAGAGACTATCAGGGCTGTTCGTGTGAGATTTTGAATTGAGAATTTGTGTGTTCTGGTCAGCTGGGACTGAAGAAACAGATGTGATTAAGAAGAGACCAGAACCTGAAGTAAAACCTTTGTTTTACTGGGACAATTGATGCTGGTTAGCTGGGACTGAAA